GTCAGGGAACCAGACTACAGGAAAATGATCGTTTTTCTTGGTTTTTATTGCATTTTCGAACCCAAAACCTCAAAAAAGTCAGTGTAACTATATTTGCTATATATTTCCAACCCCCCAATTCCATCCATTTCTGAAAATCACAGCAAAAGCAAATGATGTATATTCCCTTTAAGGTATCCACGATGCAAAACTAAAAATTAGGAAATATACCCTACGTTTCATGCATGCCAACAATAGGAATGACTCATGTTACCGGTTGTAGTAGAAAAAAAAATACATGGTGGAGGTAAGGTGGCTTGGCTTTTTCTTTAATCTTGGCCACTAGAATAGTCCATTATTTAAAGAACATCAGAGTCTAGCCGCAAAGGATCGAGACCCAAGTAGGAATATTACAATAAAAATAGAAAAGCAACCCTTAGTACAGCTAGTTGGATCTGCCTGTGAAATTATTCTCTCTGGCATTACATGCTGTCATTGTGAAGAACACAGTAAAAGAAGGCCATTTCCAAATATATGTCAAATGACACATTTTTGGAAATTTCTGTTAGTACTTTTAGATCTTTCAGTAGCATTCGACACCATAGATAGAGAGATCTTAATATCTCGTCTCTCAAACAGAATTGGTGTTCGTGATGTTGCACTGAAATGGTTCAAGTCATATCTTGCAGATTGGTCAGCCAGAGTAGAACTTGGCGGTAAAAAGTCGCATCCTACTGAAGTCTGTGTGGGACTACCACAGGGTTCTGTTTTTGGGCCTCTTGGTTATTCCATTTACACGCTTCCTGTTGGAGACATAGCCCGTCATCATGGTGTGTCACACCATTGCTATGCCGACGACACACAATTGTATATTTCATTTGATCCCAAATCTCCCAATGATCGAATTCGTGCCATTGAAACCTTGAATAAATGCATGTCTGATATTAAATCATGGATGACTTGTAACAAACTAAAACTAAATCAAGACAAAACTGAGTTTCTCATAATAGGTTCACCTTTCAATTTAAACAATCTTCCAGAAATTGTACTTACAGTAGGTAATTCAGCTATTAGACCATCAACATCTGCTAGGAATCTTGGTGTATATTTTGATTGTAATATGTCCATGACATCCCACATTACTCAATTATGCAATGTTGTCCGGTTTCACCTTCGCAATATTTCAAAAATTAGAAAATTCATCGATTATAATTCTTGTCATCATGCAGTTAGAGGTCTCATCCTATCAAGGTTAGATTACTGTAATGGGCTTCTCACATCTGTCCCAACAAGTCACCTTAAAAGACTCCAGAGTCTCCAGAACTGGGCAGCTCGCCTAATCTACAGGACTAACCGAAGACAGGATTCCACCCCTTTGCTGCAGTCACTACACTGGTTGCCCATCTCCAAACGAATTCGTTACAAGTTATTACTTTTGGTATACAAATCATTTCACAACCAGTCACCAGAATATATGCAGTCCTGCATTCTGCCTCATGTTCCCCCCAGACCAAACCTCCGTTCTAGTTCTAATCCTTTTCGTCTGACTTTCCCACGTACCCACAACAAAGCTGGTGACAGAACCTTCACAGTCACTGCAGCGAAGGAGTGGAATAGTCTGCCCTTTTCCATTCAAAATGCCAAATCTCTTGAGCAATTCAAGAAGCTGATCAAGACAAATTTATTCCACCAATAATCAATTCATTGTCTATGCTACCTGTTTTTATTATTTAACTTAATTTATTTATTTAATTTAATTGTTCATTATTTGTAAGCGCTGTGATTTAGTTTACTAATAAGAGCGTTCTTAAATGCCGATTATTATTATTTAGTTGGTTTGTAATTGGACGAATCCGTGAATAGGTGCGCGCAAGCGTTGACACGACTATTCAGTGCGCGACATCACATATCTGCAATCAGCTGAATGAGAACGTGTCTTAGCAACTTTTGAATTGAAATTGAGATCCTAGAATATTGTTTCCTCTAAAAACACAGTATTAACATATCTATAACTTTATTGGGCTAGTTGTTAAGCACCCATCTTCAAATGGGGAAAAAATGCACAAATGACAATGATGATCTACCCTTGCCTTTAATAACCCTATCGGGGTCCATACCAACAAGCTAAGCTTCTTATGGATTCATCCGCATCTCTATTAATTGTATTTATTATCTGCCTATCACCTTGTACTCATGTAAATTATGAGATGAAATAAAGTCAAGTTCAAGTCAACTATCTGACTTGTTCCATTCTTTTATTTCAGGGCAAAGGCGAAATCCTGACGTACTGGCTTGAGGGACAGGATCCAAGCTACAAGATCGACAGAATCAAACCACCCAAACAAAACTTGTAAACATCTAGCATTATCCCAACATCATCTGCAATGGAAGCTACAAAGTCCACTAAATAGCATTTATATCAGCAATTATTTGTAAAGAGGCAAAAACCATAACCAGCTATCAATCTGAGCCAGAAATTATAACACAGTGTGTGTAGGTCTATTTGAACAAGCTAACAACAAATTCAAATTAGCACACAGTTTTGTGTTCACCAACAGTTTTGTTGTTCATGAGAACAGCTTTCATTTAGCACCTTTAAGGAAAAAAAAGGTTTAATAGCACTTGTACAATAACTTACTATGATCAAGTCACTTATTTACAAAGACTGAAGTATTTTGAAGTTGCATTATAATCTATTACCATGTAGAAGTTCTAACAAAAATTACAAACAATCTAAAGAATGTTTTCATCAAACAAACACACTTTGGGTTCAAACTGTTGAGAGTCGCTACTTTGGTATTAACTTGTATTCAAACTTCACAAAAAAAAGAAATGTATTCAAAATCGAAATTTACAATGTAAACTATAATATATCAGTCTAGTTCAAGAATCCAAAGTTGAAAGAAGAAGCAAGGCTTTTATAGATTTGTAACAAAGATGACACTTGAATTGTCATGGTATTGATAAGAACAAAATCAGCATTGTTATTATACCAAAAAAGCGTGACTAGAAACGAACTTTAAATTAACCCTTGTTAACTAATGCAATATGAGGTATGCAGCTGCAAAACAAAAATAGTAGAATGTGAGGACTTGGGGTGTTATTCACTTTTATAAATACAGCTTTAGCAATTTTGGACGCACAGATTTTTATAAATTGGCATAGAAGTAAGATGTATAACGTGAGAATGTATACAGCAAAAAATTAAAACCCAATCAGACACTGGTGTAAATGGAGGATTTTCTATTGTTCCTCTTCGCTTTTCCTTTGTTTATACCTGAACTTTTTCGCAACAGCTCTCATTGGTTTTGTACACGTTTTCCAACAAACCGAGGAGTCCTCGATTCGGTTTCTGTCCTCGATGCATCGATGATATTGAACGTGTTCGTCCTCGATTTGCACTATTAACATGCACAGCATCCTTTTACGAAGCCATTTTGTTGTTTTGTTTTGGTTTATTCACATTCGGAATTCAAAGTTGCCAGACGGATTCCCATTCGATTTCTATGAAGATCAGCTTTTAAAAAGGATATTTTGACAAAGTTTGCAGTGAAATCAGTCAAAAAGGTTACTGTTTTTCTCCAAAAATTGATGATTTTTGCCGAAAATCTTTAATATAACTATTGGGTGTTTGAATGTTAATTGATGCTCCTCTAAACTTTAAAAGAATTTCTGTATAGTTTGGAGAAAAGTCATTTTTTGGCCAAATTTCATTTTAAAAATTTGGGTTTTTTTCAATTTTGGCCCAAAAATGAAATTGCTTCAAATTGGCAGAAAAGATGCCTAAAGGACACTAGAATACATTCCAATTCGATTTCTGGACAGATAAGCTTTTAAAATGGATAATTTGACAAAAGTTTGTGGTAAAATCAGTCAAAAATGTTGTTTTTCTCCAAAACTTGATGATTTTTGCCCGTAAGCTTTAAAATATTGGGTGTTTGAATGATGATTGATGCTCCTCTTACGTTTAAAAGAATTTCTGCATTGTTTGGAGAAAAGTCATTTGACCAAATTTCATTAAAAAGGTAAGGCTAACCCCTTGCTGGTTTTTTTTTTCAATTTTGGCCAAAAAAAGAAATTGCTTCAAATTTGCTGGAAAGATGCCTGAAGGAACCTAGAACACACTCCCATTCGATTTCTGGACAGATAAGCTTTTAAAAAGAATATTTTGACAAAAGTTGGAGGTGAAATCAGACAAAAATGTTATTGCTTTACTTCAAAATCTATGATTTTGCCCAAAAAGCGTTAAAATATTGGGTGTTTGAATGTTGATTGATGCTCCTCTAATACCTTGAAAAGAATGTCTGCATAGTTTGGAGAAAAGTCTCTTTTTTGGGCCAAATTTTATTAAAAACGTAAGGCTAACACCTTCTGGGGTTGTTTTTGGCCAAAAAAAATGAAATTGCTTCAAATTTGCTGGAAAGATGCCTGAGGGACCCTAGAACGCATTCCAATTAGATTTCTGGACAGATTCATTTGCACACGTTTGCGTATCAAAATTTCAACATGAAATTTCACAAAAATTAGACATCTGAAAAAGGCAGCACTTTCTGATTAGGCTATAAAGAGGGTGAGTATGCTTCTAAAGCCAAACAAAACCTACAAACTAAGCCTAAATGTGAAAATCAAAATTTGGAAAAGTGCGACACGTTTTTGTAAATGTGGATGTGTGGCCTACTTATGTTTACAGAGGTAGTCCAGTAAATTGGCCACATTTATGGGGCTACTTAGAATCTAGCATCTACAACATAGTTTTAGCTCCAGCTCTATGTCGAATTCCTGATGAGCATTGGAGCTGGAGTTACTCAAGCTAGGGGGTTTCCCAAGCTAGAGTTTCTCAAGCTACACGATCGCCAAAACTTTGAACTCTTGTAGTTCTAAACTACACCAGTATTGCCGTTATTTATTGTATGGTTGTTGTTTTTTGTCCTTGTGGTTTTTGTTTGTCATAGTTCTTGGCTTGGGTACCTATGAAGACGAGAAGGCCACTCAGGCATACGAGGCGGTCATGATCTTAACGCCTAAGACCCGGCAAGAATACCTATGTGTACAAGGACTGGGCGTGGGACGTCAAGGATACTGTTCTACTCGCTCCATTCTTCGGAACTGGCAGATACGTAAGTCAAAAAAAATATACAAACTAGCTTGATGAAATTAAATTAATGGTAATATGCAACATTTGCAAACATCCAAAAACAAAACTGCCAAATTATTATGAAATACCTAACATGACTGAAAGTAAATAATATTCTCTCAAGCATCCTATGAAACCATTTAGGTGTTATGTCATTTTTAAGAAAAGTGGAATTTTTGAATCCATTTCCAACGATGGTAGACTTTTTTTTTTTAAAAATACTGCCCCTAATTCACCAAATTTAGTTTGTCCACAAGCCAGCTAGTCTGGTTCCCTGAGCTGAAAATTCCTCGACATCTATAAATTGGTCCGTTTCATATAAAGTAGGGTCAGGGAACAAGACTACAAGAAAAGCATTTTTTCTTGTTTTCTCCCCCCAGCATCTATGAACACAAAACTTTAAACAGGTCAGTGGAACAATATTTTATTTTTTTTAAATACTAACCCCTCAATCCATCCATTTCTGAAAATTACAGCAAAAGATGATGTTACAGCAAAAGATGTTGTTTAACTATAATTCCGGAAATCTCTGTCTGTCTGTATTTTGATTATCTTCAGAACCAGACATGGTATGAAGTTGAAAATCAGCGGGTGTATTGCTTGGGACTCCAGAGTGTGTAGTGCCAAGTTTGAATTTGTTTGGATGAGTGGTTCTTGAAAAAGCTGCAAAAAAGCAACATTTTCTGAGGCAAATGTGGCAGTATTTATAGCCTCACCACGCGGGCACTGCCGTCCTTTTCAATTGTTTACATCATGTTTAAGTGAAAGCGTGCGTGCTCAATATGATGCACCACTGGAAAAAGGACGGGCACATGCATTGTAGGGCAATACCATTGTCCAGTATGGGTGAATAGCACTGCATACCATATGTTTCTGTATGTACACGTACGTGGTGGCTGCACGGGAACATTATTTTTTGCAGTCGACTGAGCGACCATTGTAGGCGGTCTACTGAGCAACGTTACGGCAGGGCAATACCATTGTCCAGAAGGGGTGAATATCTGCAGCTTTTGCGAGAACCAATCGCCCAAACAACTTCAAACTTGGCACAAACTTTGACGTGAGTGTGCGTTCAACCTGTCAAAACAACACCATTGAATCGCGTGCGTTGTTCGCACGAGCTGTTCTCAAAAACTCTGCAAGCATGCATGCAACCAATACCAGCGGCAAAGCAATTTGCGCTTCCCGAACATGCACATTTTAGACGGGCACTGCACTAGTTTTTTTTCAATTGAAATGCACTTTTTGGGGTTTGGGTTCCACTTTTTTGACTCGCCCTGTATTTGTGTCAGGTTTTCAACCTCCGTGCCACTAAAATCTTAACATGAAGTTTGACTAAAAGCCCAACTGCAGCGGAAATCCACAACGTATGCTGTCATCACAAGCCAGCCCCAGCCTATAGACTTTGTGCACAGGTTCCCCTCGACGGTTGTAACAGGAGAGTTGGGGAAGACCATTGGGAGGGACTTGTGGAGCGCTGTGGTCCAATGGTACGGTGTTCGACTCGTGCTGTACTGCGTGGCTTCGAACCCTGATGGGGGACACGGTGCTTGTGTTCTTGGGCAAGACACTTTACTACGATTGCCTCTCTCCACCCAGGAGTATAAATGGGTACCTGTGAGGGTAGAGACCACAAGGCACTGATCTCGAGCTGCTGCAAAAACTGGTCTCATGGCCTGATGAACAGGGGTAATAATTGTGAAGCGCTTTGAGACCTTTGGTATAAAGCGCTAAGCACCACACTATTATTTTTACATTTGAACGCATTGTACCTGATGCTCACGTGAAAAAGCTATGGATTTGTGCAATTCCAGAATAAAATTAATCTTGCGTATTTCGCGCCATATGTGCGCGCACCAGACTACGTGCACGTGATGCGTCTCTCCAACTAGGGCTCTCGAAAGTTGTCAAAAAGCGCCCTCTGTGTTCCTGGATGGAGTCCATAGGTTTATGATCGGGCCTGGCTAAGCATGCATTAAAAGGTACAGTCCATCATTTGTAATTTGTGCATTTTGTTCGTTTGAAGCAACAAAAGTGCTCAAAATCTAAAGAAGGGCGCTAAACAACTAACTTGATGAAGTTTCAGCTGAGCTTCAGCTGTATATTCCGAGAAAAACAGCATTCTAGGATCTCAATTTCAAATGAAAAGTTGCTGAATCATGTTTTGAATTGGGCCTGAATGCAGTGTCCGAGACATGTTCTCACTGAGCCGATTGCAGCTACACGATGTCGTGTAGCAACCACATGCGTGTGTGCGTTGTGTCAACGCTTGGGCGCACTTCGCCGCATAAAAAAAACGAACTACTAACGGAAATTTCCAACTGTACATCTTTAGACACACTGTTGGAAAGGTCTTCTTTTGTTGATTTCTTCAAAATGACAGCTTGCCAGAAAGAAGAATTTCACAGGGAGTTTAGTCCCCTTACTATCTTTCAACTGAGTATGTTTTTCAGCAATAATTACATCAGTTACTTTTTGGATAGCTGCAAATGATGGACTGTAGCTTTAAGGCCAAGTACATGTATGAGATACATGAGATTTCTTCAGGTAGATTTGGGGCTTCAATTGTGTGGCAATTTCGTCTATGGTTTTGACTTAAAGGTCTAAATTTATTCTTAAACCACCTTTTCATATACGCCTTTCCATTGCATAAATATAGTTGCATGTATAGTTTTATAGGTACCAATATATAAATACAAAATTGAAAAGCAGCATAGTGTATTCAAATTTTTTCAAATTGTCATCTCAAATTACTGCAAACCAAACCTATGCCCACATTTTCACCATTAACGTCTTGTTCTCAACTTGCCAGGTCGTTAACTTGTTGAATGCCTTGTACACGCTGTTCGACGCCATCATTTCCAACTATGACGTCTACAAGGTAAATATTCCATATAACCAAGCAGATTGTTTAAAACCAAACTTGCAACAAAATTTAAATCACAGGACGTTAAAATGTGCTATTAGCTAATAGTTCCAAGTTACATTAAGACAAAAAAAAGATGTAAACATGTTTTCTATTATATCTGAAAGCAAAATTAACCAATAATGAATGATAACGTCTTACAAAGGTTGAAACCATTGGCGATGCCTACATGCTGGTCTCCGGCCTACCGCTCCGTAATGGTAACCGTCATGCCGGTATGATCGCCTCCGCTGCATGGCATCTGCTGGAGGGCTTTATTAGTTTCATCATGCCGCACAAACAAGAGGAGAAACTCAAACTCCGAATCGGTATTCACTCAGGTAAGATCGTTGTCTTTGCTTGTAGTCGAGGTACTCATGATGGATCGCAACTACATCACAAGTCTGTAGTCACAAGTACATCACAAGTCACAAGTACATCACAAGTCTAGTCACAAGTCCGGTCACAAGTCCATCACAAGTCCAGTCAGACGTACATCACAAGTCTAGTCACAAGCTAGTATATCACAAGTCCAGTTACAAGTACATCTCAAGTCCAGTCACAAGTAAATCACAAGTCCAGTCACAAGTACATCACAAGTCCAGTCACAAGTACATCACAAGTCCAGTCACAAGTACATCACAAGTCCAGTCACAAGTACATCACAAGTCCAGTCACAAGTACATCACAAGTCCAGTCACAAGTACATCACAAGTCCAGTCACAAGTACATCACAAGTCCAGTCACAAGTGAATCACAACTTCAAGCTCTGCTCAAGCTATTTGTGCTTGATAATGATGTATGTATGACAATTTCTTCATTGTTTTGGACTTGTTTCAAGGATCTTGTGTGGCGGGTGTAGTTGGCCTGACCATGCCTCGGTATTGCCTCTTCGGTGACACGGTCAACACAGCATCTCGTATGGAGTCTAATGGACTCGGTAAGTAGAATCTTGTTACACTAGACAGCTCAAATTATGCTTATATATGGATTCGAGAAAGTAAACACACAAACGTAATTAAGAATGAAGTGTGAACCAGCCTCACCTCATGTTGGAAAGCTTCATTCCATTGGCGCTGTGGACCCCATGCATGATACTTTGAAGCCGTCCTGGGCGCAGACATTTTGAATTCATGTGCGCGTTTTTGGAAAATAATAAAATCACACGGAATGGATTTCAGATATTAATGTACTCTATTAAAAGGCAAGGCGCAAGTACATTACGCGAACAACGTAAGTGCGTTTTCTGTGAGTGTGACGGTAAAAAAATGTTACGGCAAATGTCATCTGCAGCGCCTATGAGTTTGAGTTTGCGTAGGTTTGCGCAGAGCAAAATGAAACGCTCATGTACTAATTGTGCTTTTTGGTTGTGGGCGTATCGGCTGCGATAACGCACTGGTATAGAATACAAATGCAGATATGTAAATAGCCGTACTAAAGCCATACTAAATTTCGAGTTTTCCTAGGTTTGTGCACAAATATGGATGCGCCCAACTGGGCTCAATTTCATGGCTCTAATACCGTTAGCAAAAATCCGTGCTTACTTTAGCGAAAAATTCCCTGCTGGCGATAAGCGTATTTCACGGGTTAGCGAGGAATTTTGGCTTGTGCGCATGCGTATGTCCTGTACTAGGATTCTGTGCTTATAGGGTTAGTGCAGAATTGTGCTAGCGTGGTGAGCACAAAATGATGATCGTAAGCTTGGAATTTTGTGGTAAGCAGAACCATAAATTTGGGCCATGCAGGCTTCATGTGTACAGCGAGTTAGTGCTCTAGTAATTTATTATAGCTCTATGGTATAACCCAACTTCAATTATTCATGGAAAATGTTCATGATATTTTATATTTGTGAGCCGAATAATTTATTTCCCCTCCCCCATCAATTTAACAGCGCTCAAGATTCACGTGAGTCCTGAATGCAGACAGGTACTGGAGGAACTCGGAGGATACAATCTAGTAGAGAGAGGACTGGTTGCCATGAAGGTACGGCATTTATTTTGACTGCATAGATCCTTTCTTAGGGTCGTTCGATTAGCTCACCCGGGTTGACTCGGATTAGCCCCGTGCCGTTCGATTAGCTCTGACGTCATTCTTGGGGCTCACCGGGTCAGCCACCACAGACCCTGCTCATGGAGCAGAGTCACTGATGGAAATACGTCACACGCAATTTTATCAGCTTTATTTGAAGTTGAAACATAATTATTTATTGATCTCATTGCGATTTTAGAGGCTATAATTCCAGCTTAGCATTTTTACTTATTTCAATTGACGGAAAAGCAGTAAATCTGAAGAAAAAACTCAGTTTGAAAAGGGCTTTTTGTCAGTGGCTACGGCCGGGGCTACGGATGTCGCGTGAGGATCATGATAGCCTGCATTCTGCATTTGAACATTTCATTAGCACAGCTTTCTTGGCTATCCGTCTGCCTTTAACCGAGTTGATCCGGGTGAGCTACTCGAATGCACCTTATATTTGATTGACCAACTATAACTGTTTAAATCCCCGAACTTAAAAGAAGTATTGACTACTTTGGTTGTTGTGATAAAACTAGCCTCCTGAGATGATCCATGCAGCGTTCTTTATTTCCGAGGTAGCACCCAGGGAAACTGAATGCTCCATGGATCTCCGAGGGAGGCTAGTTTTACTACACTATCAGTTAATTTTCGTTTTATTATGCCCCACCCATCTATACTACTTGTTTTTGCGAGATAATTTACCCGAAATGTCATAAAAACGTACCTCAATTTCAATATGAAAGTAATTGAAAATTTCCTCGTAGTTTTCCAAACTACCCCTTCATGAAGCGTTGGAACAAAACGCGCAACATGCAAAACCTATAATATGCATACACTGCTGTTGCTATGTTGGTTGCTACGTGCATAGAACTTTGTCAGCCTTGAATAGTCTTTTCAGTGGTTGTATTGTCTTTTGGGCTGTGTGTAACGGGGGAAAAAAAAGGCTAAGAAAACAAATGGTTGAAATGATTAGGTTGCAATGTACTTTTAGAAACTGGGACAAAAAAGATAGAAAATCAAGGAAACAAAATAAACTTCTCAAAAATGTAATTTAGTCTTATTATTAAAGAATATCCTTCACATGCAAAAAAACCTATTTAAATCCTGAATGAACAAACTAGTTTAAAAGAAATCTCAATCTGGATCAAACAACGAATTAAAAACTCATAAAGGAATTTGTCATTAACAAATTAACAATTGGATTAAATTTTAGGAGAATATTAACAACTAAGGTATTAAAAAAATGGATTGACAGAAAAAAATTTAACCAAGGGGAAAAAGCCAATGTCATACATAACTGTTCCAGTACCAACAATACAAACGCTATTGATCAGTATTGTAGTTGAGTACTTTTTTCCAAGTACCAAGTACTGCCCAGTCCTTAAGTTACTGAGTACAAGTACTTTTTCTTCTGAGTACAAGTTCAGGTCTCTAAGTAAGAGTATTTGTACTTCTAAGTACGAGTAGAAGTACTTGTAATCTGAGTACGAGTACTTCTATTTCCGAATACAGCCATACGGCAAATGGTTCATTGTGCATAATTGTCCCAGGCACAGTCAGACCAATATACAGACCCACTCATGGCTAGCTGTTAAATGTGTTTTTCTGGATGTACACAGAAAAAATTCAGCAAACTTTGATGTCTCTGCAAGTAAATCAACCATTTCCAACTGAAAATATCGATAATAAAATAAGGCCGTGGTAAGTCAATCTATACCTTTTTTTTTTTTCGAGTACAAGTACTTTGATAAGCAAGTACAAATTCATCATGTCGAGTACGAGTACTTTGCTGCCCGAGTATGAGTACCGTCATTTCGAGTATGAGTAGTTTGACAATCCAGTACGAGTACGAGTACTACAACACTGCTGTTGATTCAAGTTCAGATTTCAAACATGCAGTCTGTCCACATTAACTACGGAATCTCAAAATGGACATTGCACAAATGTTTTTTTGTGAAAGGTCGTCAGTTTGGTGATCCAAGAAATTAACTAAATATGCAAAATGTACAAAGCTTTAAATCGAATATTTACATAGTCACGTGCCATTGTGTTTCATATACAATGTACTTCTACAAAATGAAGATTGGCACAATTTGCTTCATTAGGAGTTAAGACATTTCATATTACCTATTAAGTTATGGACCTATTGTACTTTTAACATTACCTCACAGTGATGACCATATTTTACAACATTACAGTAGTAAAGTTAATTTTGTGAATTGAGTGCCAAATTTAAGGAGGTACGGTCCCTTCAATCTTAAAAAAGTTTGTCAGCAAAAACTGTTGTACGGTTCAAGAAACATTCAACCCTTTTCTTCCATGATTTCTTCCACGATTTCTCTTGATGACTTTATTACTAGAGAGTACACCATAGGCCTACTCACACATTTGTGGGGACCGAAAACGCTGTGGGATAGCAGAAAGTCCCCATAACTCGGTCCTAATTTGCCTAACAATAAAAAAAAACATCTCCATAACGGGATGTAGGCAGGCGCGGTTCTAGAACCAATATTTGGGGGGGGGGGGCTAGCACGGTGGATCCAGAATTTTTTTAGGGAGGCGTGCTGAAATGTTGACCGGTTATTTTTTCCAGACACTTAGGCCTCCGAAAATCAATAGGTGGGGTGGGAGGGGGGGGGGGGGGGGGGGGGGGCTCATGCCATTTTTTCAATGGGGAGCGCCAATAAAATCCTAAAATCATTCACAATATATTAACTGATGCACCCTTGTCACGGCTATTTCTTCTTTAGGGGGAGACCGTTCGCATGTACATCACAATCCTTCTTTTTGCTAATGCAATTTTTTTTTACGGAATTTATTTTGGGGGGGGCTAGGCAAAATTTTGGGGGGGCTACAGCCCCCCCCCTAGCCCCCCCGTAGAACCGCACCTGGATGTAGGCCTAACATAGAGCTATATTAAATTACTAGAGCGCTAACTCCTCATTCTTGCGCACGGAGACGCTTTGAAGCCGTCCTGGGCGCAGACATTTTGAATTCATGTGCGTATTTGTAGAACATAATGAAATTAGATGGATTGAATTTTGAAAGTGTACTCTACATGCAACGCGCAAGTAAAACATACGCAAACAACTGAAGCGCGTCATGACAATTCAAAAAACGTTACAGCAAAAAGCATCTGCAGCGAATACGCGCTCGCTTTGCCCTGTTTGCATAGAGCAAAATGACACACTCATTTGCTGATCATGGGTTTCGGTTTTGGGCGTATTGGCTTCGATAACGCACCGGTCTGGAATACAAACGCTGATATGCAAATAGACGTACAAAATGCGTACAAAATGTGTAGTTCTCCATAGGTTTGTGTAAAAACATGGATGCACCCATCAGGCATCTCTTTGTATATCGAGTTAGCGCTCTAGCAATTTAAATAAGCTCTATGAGGCCTACGCACATGCCGAAATGTATTGAGGGAGATTTTTACTGATAACACACAAACGTTACCAGTTATTTTAATTTCGAACGGGTTTTACAATCTGGGTAAATATTATTTTGGGAATGTAGCAGATGTAAATAGCCATCGTTCAACTACAATAGTAATGTTTTACCAGGCCTTGTAAGTCAAATCATTGGATGCAGGTTAGCCCCGGTTCAAGTACAGTGGTTAGTTTTTCGGAGGGCCATATCAGGCAAATCACATCCGCTCAAAGATCTTAATGGAGTGTTTTCAGCTACAACTACGTCGCCAGCGGGGGTGAATGCCATTTCAAATGGATTGTACAACCCTTGAGCTACTGTTGCTACGAGTGCACCATTTGAATCGTATCGCTGCACTGCACAGTCTCCCTGATTTCCAGAATGAACAACAACATAGATGGTCTCATCATCATCACACAGGACACCAGTTGCCTTAGCAGCTCTGCCATTCATTAATGTCTTGACACTGAACATCTCTTTACCCTTAAAGTCAATGCACAGCAAACTTTGGTCCAAAAAGTTTGTGAAGACTAAACAGCCAAAATTGCTTATTGCCAAGTAAAGGTAACCTTGTTATTTGAGATGCTTGCAATCAACGATCCGTCCAGGTTGTGGACACTGATGACATTTCTCCCCCTGTCAGCGACTGCTACTCGCTGACTGTCAACAGCAATACCAAGGAGGTCACTCTCTGATCGCCCATCCACATCGTCACATGAAGGTGTAAATTCGCGAACAAAGTGGAGGTCAGTGTCAAAAACCTTCACTTTCTGTTTGTCCGTGACAAAAAGCAGATCATCATGGGACACCGCAACGCCCCGTGGAGATTCCAACTGATGCATAAGACCTCCTTTAGCAACCGCTGTTTTATATCGACCAGTGGAGCTAAACAATGATAACCGTTTCAAATATGTGTCAGTTACTACAATGTCCCCATTTACGAAACATGTAACAGCCGTGGCGAATTGAAATTTCCCGTCACCGGTACCTTCTTTGCCGAACTCTTCCTTCAACTGCCATTTCTCGCTGACACAGACATCCCCAAGTTCTGCATCACTCACAACATCGTTACATTTGACACCAATGAACGATGGACCATGATTCACCGGTTCACACTTGAGCTCCTTCTGGAATTCCAAGTTGTGCATCACCTTCGGCTTGAACTCCAAAAGCTCGAAATCATCGGCTTGACTCATCAAGTCATTTACTGCCGCGATGGTCTGATCTGTGCGTTTCATCTGTTCATGGTTGTGCATGAGCGCCTTTTCGTACTTACTGTCTCTCTCCTGACCGATTTCGTTGACCTTGTCGGTGAGAAGCTTTGCTTTGTTTCTGATTTTAGTGATCTCTGCCTCCGCTTTTGCATCAATATCACTACGAGCCTGAGCCAGTTTCTTTTGCAATCTTTTTCGTGCATGGTCGATTGACTTTTCAGTAGATTTGAAGTGTTGCCTACACTTCTCAAACTTCTGCAGTATGTTTTCGACCTCACTGCGGAAGGACCTGATAGTGTCATCAATCTTTAGCAAATTGTGCTC